GGTGGTTGGCCCTGTCTGGAGTTGCTGAACTCTTAGCTCACCCAGACAGACGTCCAGGCTACCCGGTCGGCACCACGAGGAGGTGGTTCAGCTCGTCGACCTGGGGGCCCGACCGGTCGTTCCACGCCTTCTATTCTATTAACACTGGGGTGCTTGGCGATCTCTACTGCCTCGGCGATCAGTCTGTGTGGCGTGGACCGTAGTCCTCGCCTCAAAACCTCAACACTTTCTAAGTCTATTTTGTATCCCGTGTCGAGTGCGTGTTCCGCAATCGCCGAGTCTTTCAGTAACGCTTGATATTCATCTGCGTTTCTCGGCGGCCTGTTTATTTTTCTCCTATGCTCTCCGACTCTGATGTGTAGTTCCCTGGCCGTCTGTCCTATGTAAACCTTGGTGCAGTCATTACACAGTCATTGTACACACAGTCCCTGGTTCTGTTTGCCGGGAGGCGATCCTTCAATTGCACCAGTGCAGAGCACAGAGTGTTCCCCCTCTGGAAAGCTACTCTTATGTTAGCCGTGTTTAGAATTCTTCGAATTACCTCCGATGTCCCTGGTTTGCATGGAATAACAGCTGTCCCGATCCATTCGGGTTTCGCTACCGGTACCAATACCATTCGCAATTGACGCCTAATCAAGCTGGCTGGATATCCACTAGGCCGAAGTTTGTTCTTTACCTCAGTTTGGGCCGCTGTCCGATCAGCTTCTTCTGTGTACAGGGCCCTTACATGCCTAAACATTGATGAGGCAATACTAGCAAACACTGACTTCGAATAGGCGGACGAGTAGTTTAAAAATGCCTCAGTGTCGGTTGGCTTCTCGTACACTACCGATTGTTTATCAAGCTCTTCTGAAACGATGACTTCTCAATCGGTTCCAAACCTTTTCCAATTGATTGAGAATATTTATTGTCATTTTATGAAGATGACTACATTGCTCAACGCTATGAAAACGGCCCACTGGTCATTATTTAGAGTAGCTGACAGTTAGGTGGTGCCACAGGCAATATGAAACCACTAGACATTGTGGTCTTGGGACCGTACAACTTTGATGACCGGATTAGTTCAGTTGGAAGTTAGTAGCGGATATACCCGTGAGGAATAAACTAGAATTAGAACGGGGGTGTGGCGCAAAATCCTACCAAATTCCGAGCCGTTCGGTCAAGCGATCTGATTTCCGTGAAGCACCCATGAGTGAAACACTTCGGTTTCCATAATACTACGCAATACTATACCATTTTACACCGAGCAGCCTAGTCAGACAAAGATGGGAACTGACAATTCTTTACCTTTCAAAATTTCGGTGAAAACAAAGATAAAAATAGATGTTTTCCTAAATTAGCTGCGAGTGAATACGAAATACGTGCCCCGATAACGCTGTGACTCTCTGGATAAAAAGTCCAAGACGAGAACCCAAAACTTTCAGCCCCAAAATGAATGGACAACGGAAACAAATGCCCCTTGCAAGTATGACGATTCATATCTGACACGATGTTTTGCACCAAGGACACTTTCATTTTAAGAGCTTGTAACAACACAAGGACCACAAGTAACGATTGGATCGAACTATTAAATAAGATGCCGGAAAGGACGAATACTCTCGGTAACATAATTCTCACACTGATGCCCGAGGAAACTGGCTGAAAATAGGGACAAAGGCTCAGCTTTTCATAACTGGAGAAAGGATGAAACAAAACCTAAAGGAAAATCAAACAAACCTTTGATAAGATCCAAAGAGAGACGTCTGCGGAGACGACTGATGCGTCAGAGCCCGAATGAGTAAACTTATGTCCTTGAACTGATAACCCAGAATATTTTGGAGACCCACTAGCCGGAGAGACTGACGTTCAATAAGGTCATCCTTCTCTGTTCCATTCGGCAATCTCGATATGCTCCCTGCAGGACAGTTCCGATCAGGAAGATAGAACGTCGGTCGAAATTCCAGAGGACGGAATAGTGTCGAGTGAGAATGTCTATTATTCTGCTGAGTTTCAGATAAAAGCTGATCCCATGCGCCGACCTCCTTTCCTTGTGAGGACGGATTGGCGTACGGCGAAATTCCAAGGTAGGTCAGCAAGCGAAAGGCAGCTGGAAGACCCAAGTGTTGCAGGAAGCATCCAACGATTGCCTCCACCATATCGGCCAAGGATTTGTCTGTCAGTCTGACGAACAGTCTGGTGTCACTATCGCGATGAGGTACCTAAAAATTGTGAAGGAAGCAGTAAACCAGGTGGAAGTAATGAATTAGAGAAACGAGTAGCCCTACTCAACTCAAAAAGGTGGCAGAGCGCTTCCGGGAACGTTTATTCTAGCTGGATAGCAACAGCTATGAAGAGACCATGTGAGTACACGCAACCTGTGAACACTGCGTGGCATACGATTGAGGCAATTATGGGAACCAACTTGGCACCATCACCCGCAGTAGCAATTAACTGTGTGCAAATCGTACAATCTTTGCAGTTGCTACAGCTCTGGATAGGGGTTAGGGACTGCGCACTATAGCTGACAGCTCGAAACACCGAGGTGTAGACTCAGTTATGACATTGTATAATTTGGACCATGTCACGTTGGTATGAAGGGGTGAAAACTCTAAGCTGTGTACTGAAGGCAGCGACTGAGATACACTATGACGATTGAATATGCGAACCGGGCATGTCTCAGCTTGTCTAACTACTGATCGGGGGTGGACCAGGGTCCTCATTTAGATATAGGGTTGCTGGCACGACTGAACTTGCTTCCGAAGGACCGTTTCCACCTTGCACATGGTTAAGCGTATAGGCTGTGCGAGGCAGAGGGTCATCTTGTATTTAGAGAAGAGACAAGACTAGCATAACCTATGAGGTGTTCACACCTCACCTGCCACGTGTGAGTTCTTTCTTCCAAAACTTAATCGACGGACCCTTTTATATCGTTCCATCAACCGTCCACGTGTTTATGGCTCAGTGCATAGCTGAGTGAACTTTCGTCATCATCATCATCGACAGCGTGACATCAGTGTTCAACACCGATGCCTCGCTGCCGTACAAACATGAGTCAATGGAAAGCTTTATTGTGAAGAAAAGAATGAAGGTGGACGGGGAAGGGACTAAGTGCTGGCTTACTACAATCATTCCGAGAAGCCTACACCTCCAAACAATCATTTAGGCAATCTGGATAGAAACTAACAAGATCGCCACTGACATCGGTTGGCAGCCATTTCCTCCAGTGTCTGCAACCAGGCACAGTGAGGACCAAGCGGTCCCCATCCTGAAAGGCAAGTTGCACCGACAGCACCTGAGCATTTTGTGATTTCTTCCATACCCCTCTGCCAGGTCAAGGGTTGGCCACCTCTCTGCTTCCGCCACTCCAAATTGGGCATGGAAAACGATAGTTAGGCATACGCAGCATACGTCCCAACCAACGCAGCCTCTAGTGCTGGACACATTCATCAATGGAAGTACCCGTTGCACAACCGAAAACTCGCTTTCCAGTTGCCTCGTTACGGGTACGCCGACACCAACCCACACGAGCTACGGTTCTGAGACAAAGATTGTCGAACACCTGAAACCGTCTAAGTTCCGCTGCCCGAACAGGCCAGGTTTCACAGCCGTACAACAAAACAGCACACACTGTAGTTCGATACACACGTCCCTTCAGATTCAGGGATAAACCATTCTGACGCCATAAGCGTCTCAAATTAACAAACGCGACCCGAGCTTTGCAGATCCATGCATTGACCTCATACGTCACAGAACAGTAGGAACTAATACAAATCCCAAGATACGTAAAACGCTCCACAACTTCGAGTGCCGCCCCTAAGTTGTAAGTGGCGTGTTCGGTGACTGCATGTCCAGGAGCATGACCTTACACTTTGAGTGCAAGGTGCATACCAAACGACAGGATGAAGTTGGTCAGTTCATCTAAGAACAATTGCGCCTTCTCCTCCTCTTCGGACATGAGAACGATGTCGTCTGCATATTCCAGATCGATAAGGTTTTCGTCACAGGCTATTTGAACGTCGGGGTTTCGGGGCGTTCGTTTAATGATTTCATCGACCACAAAGTTAAACAGGAATGGGGAGAGTCGGCATCCCTAATGGACACCACTTTGAGTACGGAAGCTTTTGGAGAGCTCGTTGTATACTCTCACACGTCCGGAAGTCTGGGAATAAGAGGAGTTTATCATGTTCACGAACTTCCGGGGCATTCCTTGGTGGGCAAGCGTGTCAAGCAGAATAGACCGATCAACCAAGTCAGAAGCGCCTTGGAAATCAAGGAACACTACAATTGTGGGTCGCTTGTACGTATGGCGTTGTTCTAGCACCTGATGAAGTGTGAATATTTGGTCAACGCTACCCCTACTAGGCCGGAATCCCGCTTGCTGCTCTAGAGTCAGCGTCTCACGAGCCACTGTAAGGCGACGAAGCACAAGTGACGCCAACGGTCTCGTTACAACCGGTGTTAAGCTGATTCCCCTGTGTTTGCCACACTCACTACGAGCCCCTTTTTTAAATGGGCACTATCAACGACTCTCCCCAGTTGCCTGGGACAGACTCCTTTTCCCAAATGCGAGCAAACAGATCAAACAAGCGCGACGGCCGATGTGACATGAGTTTGTTTGTGTGTGCAGTTCATCGTTGTACGTGGGCTCGGATACTTTCAGGGCGCCCACACCTACACATGAAGATGATTAGGGTCCTCAACCAAAGCCTTTGGTTCAAAAGCATAACCGCAAGGTAGCGGTGTTTGGCGGGAAATGCAAATGCATTACCATTTCTACGGAATAAGTCGTCACATGTTCCAACCCCCAACCTGGGGGACCAGGAGCTTGTGTTCGTCAGACCTCTAGCCATTGACCAACCTGACATAAGAGACCCTGTGAGTGTCGCGGGGACACCCCCGTATGGCCGAATAAGTGGATGAGGTGTGCAAACCGTCACACCACGTTAAGATCCAGTCTCTTCGCGAGTGGGGGGTGAACCTTCGGGCTTGTTCAGACCAAAGCTGTTAGGTTTTGGTTGTTCCCTAGAGTTAGAGATTGAATTGAGTAAACCTGAAAGGAATCGAGTTGCCAGACATGCGTGCAGTATGGCACGATCGGAGTCGAGTTACTCGCACCAGATGGTTGAAAATCATGAATGGTAGTTAACAGTCCCATTATCTAATCAGGTCTATGGTGAACTTGGATTTGGTAGCCGTCAAAGGACATCAAAAGCACTTACATTCGGATATGCTGCCAGAAAAAAAACGGATGATGTTCAACGGGTTGCGGGAGCTAATTCCTTTGTCACTGACGCCAAATTAAGATGAAAAACTGACCAAGAGGTGTGCTCCCACAGAAGTCAGTCTACTGACTTGGGTATCCAGATCGCCTACCAGGAAAATGTCAATGTTTTCCGCCTAACGAAGTCGCCTAAATAAACTTCGATAGAAATTATCTATCTTAAAAACCAAGCCGGCGTCAGTCGAAGAGTATACTGACATTAAAAATGAGCAGCGACTAACGTATTTAGTAACATTGAGTCTGAGTCCGCGGGATAATCCAGATTAGACTGTTCGCCACAATGTCAAGCACAGCGCATTCAACCCGGAAGCCCCAGCGCAACTCCCACATGACATATAACACCGGGCACTGTTTCACGACCATTAGGGACCTGAATATTGAAATGTGTAAGGAATGGATTGATGTTTACTCAAACCTGACCATAATACACCTGAGTACTAACTCGCAATCTGACATGTTTAGAGGTGATATCGTAAATCCAAGTACTTAGTGAGAATGAAGTGATTCCCCACTCACTTTAAGGGTTCCCCAACCAGCTGAGCCTCCGAGAAGGTTGCCTTACGTCACGTGTACACACTATGCCCCACAAATCTATAGGGTGTGTTAACTGCCAGAGATTGTCAACCCCTAGTGAAACACCTGAAGTAGAACACATGAACCCATGAGGTTGCGGTGAACTGATTGGAATTGGATGGGATTCGGTAAACTTTAAAATAAGACTAACTGAACATACCACGAGCAAAAAGACAAGCGTGCGGACGATGTCTTCGCTCAACACAGATTCCTTATTTTCACGACGAAATATCGATGAGAAGGTTACGAAGAAAGACTGGATTGATGAAAAGGTTAATATTCGCCAGACCGGAGATGAACATTTCGCCACTTGATATTTTCACAAATTGTCAATGGTATTTCGCATGAAACAAAACATTGGCATGAATGGTCAGTCAATAAGAGCAGATTTAGTGATCAATTCAAGCGTGCAAGCAGATGGAATATAGGACATAATGGAAAACAAGCAACTAAGCTTACCGAACTCGAGAGATCGTAACAAGGGAACATAAAGTGATCTGGTGGCGAGTACACCTGTCCCGTGCAGTAGTTCTGCCAACCCAAACGGACAGCTATATTGCGCAAGTTGGAATTGGACACCAAAGCAACACGCTTAGCAGTCAGTTGACCCTCATCAGCGTCTTCATGAGAACCGCTATACACGGTGAGTGTGCTGATAAGTTGCAACACTGAGTCCCCAAGAAGTTCAAGCCGTTCTAGATTGACGGCATCACGAGCACCCAAGAGAGTCAGGGATTCCAGTAAATCTGCCGGGTTCGGCACATGTTTACTTGGTTCTACCCGACGGCTAGCCTCGTCTGTTAGAAGGTATTCGTCTTCAAAATTCTCTTCTGCTGTCACATCTGCAGCAGTGCTTCGTTGCAGATCGCTTAGCATACACTTCGGTGAATCCAGGCGATCGGGTAGGAGGACAGTGGGATCCACAGATGAAGGGGATTGAGTCGATTGTGAAGGCGGCGGACATGAGTAGCCCAACTCATGTGAGAGAACAGTGAACAACTGCAATGCCGACAACGCTCGAGTCATCTGGTATACAATCATTGGGATGATTGACATCTGAAACCAAAGCCAAGCGGAAAGAGGGTGGAGGATACAACCGTCTGCCAGATAGCTAAATTCCTTATCGTCAGCGGGCTCGATTGAATTATTCTTCCGCATCCCTGCAGTAACTTGTGCAGCGTTCTGATGTCTTGTCAGACGATGACAGCCAACTAATGGTAAGTTATGATCAATACGATCCAATAAACAAAATATGGCTGGATGACGAATGGCGAAATAGTCAACATAAGAGAAGACCGGGTTGACAGGAATCGGGACAGCGTTCTCTGAGTTCGAAGATGGTTCAGAGTTGACCGCCGCACAAACCTTTTCGGCAAGATTGGGAGGAACTGGATCCAATCCAGTCTTCGAACTTGCTCCAGAAACCGCAAACAGACCAGGGTCGTTCGATGGTAAGTGACACGGTCGAACCAAGACTCCTGGCCAATAAGCCATCGGCACTTGACTCAACCAAACCGGGTATGCAGGTATGATTCCATGGTTCGGCTGAATCAACCTTCCTGGAACTGCTTTTTCCTGAAAGTTCCAGTTAATTCGGCCCTTGTTCCACTTTAGAAGAGTTCGAGCTGCTTCGAGATCGATATCGTTTGCTTTAAAATCATAGAAAAAAATGAAAATGTCGGTGAAGGAAAGTGGACAAACTAATGTTTGTAGAAAACAGGAAAAAGACAGCTACACATTTGGAGCAGTAGTTTAATCAGCTCGTTAATACTGAATCATCCTGTTTATCGGTCCGTTTATCTGACGAGTCTCGAAGTTGGGCAGCTACACATTGAAAGACATAGGTTTGACGAGGAAACACCACTGGCTGAGTACTGTTAATCCAATCATCGGGGTGTTAAGCTCCGGAGTGACCACGCTGGATCGCACACCAAGACGTCCAATTTATTTACATAGGAAGGAACGGATGCACAAAGGGCAATATCCTCCCACACGAAACATCTATGGATGAATACCTCGAAAACGCTTTAGCCGTCAGAGATAAACGGAAAATTTCAAGCACTATATCAACTAGGAAGCCGAAGAAAGATGGCGAAAGAGGGCGATTTGCCCTGACACGGTGAATTGGGATGGCAATACGACGAGTATATTTTCATAATTCCGAAATGGTGACTACGATTACGAAATAGAGCACTGGTTCTCAACCAGGGGTTTGCGAAAGTTCAAGTGGGCGACAGAATCCATTGGGAAAATAACTGATGTTTAATTCAGACTCATATCACTCTCATCCGAGAAATGTTTCTATTGCCATGGCGTAATTAGTCCCGTGAGTTCACACCAAAGTGGAGAAGCACTGGACTTGTTTTGCTATTATTAGAGCTCATCAGTAGTGCACATCACTGGCCGTTTGAATTCCAAACATCTGACATGCCATGCGGGTGCGTCACCACTACTCCTTCAGCTCGCGCTGGACGAATGCCATTATCAATTCCGAACAGATGAACGTGTTCACGCTTGAGCGATGTCCTTGATTTGGCCGACGCCTCGAATGACGTCTCAGTAAATGCCTTGGTTATGCCAATCGGGTGATCCGCCTGACAGGACATGACGGCGAGCTAGAGAATACTCTGGTTGGCGCGAAAACGTCCGCATCAATTCGATACCACCTAAAACTATAATTACTCAAAATTCCCTACTTTTTCCTGTTTTTTGGGCGGCTGCAGTGGGAGGAGCACGCGCACCAAAGTTGATGCCTGTCCGAACACGTTTTGCATGAGATACGCTGGATAGTGATCCTATCCTTCCATCCCAATCTACCATCGTGACCTGATGTTACTCCATACGTTTTCTGATCGGACCATCGTACGGTTGGCTAGTGCTTAATAAACGTACAGCAGCAGACCAGGATAGGCTGAGTTTTGTGCTTGTATGCCTGTGTACTGTCTCAGCCTTGGTGGACCCACTGATGCCTCAGTTCAAACTCACGTGACCGGCGGTTCTGTAGTGCCCATCAACCTGGCCCTAAGAAACGCATTTTTGAGGTCAGAACATGACAAACTACAGTTGTTTGTTCATATGGTTTTGATTGACATTTGCACAAAGATGGTTAGTTCCATTTTGGTGGTTATTGCTGCACTGAGTCGGCCTATCAAGCATCTCAAAAAGCAACTATCTCTAATTGTAACTTTATATATATATATATATATA